GAATTAAGCTGTAAAAGAGTTCATATATCGCTAGTTGGTGTTGTTGTGTATATATTGTGCATGAATTGTTGCCAGCTAGTAAGTGTCAAATTGAACTTATGCTTTAAAATTAGCTTCTGCTAGTTTTTCTATGGCAGAAGTGTTTTTGAAGTTGTGGACCTAAATATTTTCATAAGCGCTTTAGAAACTGCGGAGCTAATTTTTGGATTAGCGCTGCCCACCACTGGAGATATGTTTAACACTGTTTGTACACTCAAAATGCAGTGTAGAGAGCTGTTGTTGTTATTGTTACAGAGCAAAAAAAATAATTTATGTAATGTTTTATCTGTGTTAAAATTAACCTACCCTTAAAATTATAATGTAGACTGTTCATGTCTTTGTAAGTGTGCAAACTTGTGAAATCATCAAGGGATCAAATAATTATTTCCCTACTGCACATCCCCTCTCCATCCATACCAAGTAACTCCAGTATGGAGCGTAGTTTTACTTTAGTGACCATGCATTTGGAACTTGGACTGCAAAACAGCTGCAAGAAATAAAAAGGGTGGATTTATGAAATTCATAAGCAGGAAGTCTTTGTGTACATAGTGAAAGAGTTAACCAGGGCCCCGGGCCATTCCTGTCTTCAGGTGAATGATGTGAGTGTTTCTTTCCTTCAGATGCCATCCTGAACATGGTGAACAACATCGCTGCCAACGTGCTCGGTGGCAAGCCTGGACTGGAAGAAGAATCAGAAACCAGAGGTTGTGTGCCAGTTCTCCTCACTTCTTCACCCTGAATCATTGCTTTCATCAGGCTCTCTACCAGGAAACTCTGCTTTTATCAGCAGTGTGTTTCAGCTGCCTCTGAACCTCTTACAGCAACAYGCAGACAGACTGAACACCTGATTGATGTTCTTTAAAGTTCTTTAGTTGTTAAAGCTCACAGGGTTCATTTACTTTTATTAAAGTAAAGATGAGGAACAAATGTTAGGAAGCTTCTGTTTGCCTCCATGAACTGATGAACCCTGCAGCTCACACCAGGAAACAACTTCTGCGTTCTGAGAAATAGTTAATAAAGATCTCCTGATTTATTACCAGTATGTGAGAGAAACTCAGTAAAATAATACATCTTCAGAGCTTTTTGCTTCTCTTTAATCTGTGCTGATGGACTTGTTGTCCTGACATGTTATTGACTAAAAAGCTCAACAGAATCTGAAACTAGTTTCCATGTTGACTTTGCGTCACACCTTGTTAATATGAGGTCTGACAGGTTGGTCCATGTTTAACAGTCAGTAATTTACACATTAGCATCAATTAAAACTCTCTGAAGCTGTTGAGCTTGATAATAAAACACTCACCTGTCCTCCTGATCTAGGACTTAGTGTTATGTATTTATCCATTTTTATATTTCATTTGTTTCTTTGAATAGCACAGGTGTGTAAAGTAGGTGGAAAATAAACCAAGTAAAAATATCCAGAAAATGACTTTTGCTACATTTAATTTCACTGTTGAAAAAGGGACTTCAGTGAAAGTCATAAAACTGCTCACAAAAACTGGAAAAGTAAAAATAATTGTACACACTCATAGATTGGTTGGATTTATTTAACCAAGTTATTTCAACTGGTTCCATTAAAACTAACAGTGGTGGGCACCAGTCCGCTAAAGCAAAAATCCACTAATTGAGGACCTAAATATTTCATTTGTGCTTTAGCGGTTTTACTATTTTTTATAATTCATAAGCAAATTTGTGCTTTCTAAAATTAAAATGTAGTACCACTAATAACTAATTATCTACCAGTCATCATTATGTTGAACAGCAGAAGGTATGACTGTCAATGAATCACAACATGTGATCTATCCAACAGCACCCCTCCCAGATAAACACTCTTATTGTGAAGGTATACATCCTGCTGACTGTTGCTTTGGGTCACGGTTCTGATTTCCCACAATGCTTTGTGTCTGCTTACGTAGCTGGAAGGCAACAGCAAAAACAGTAAACGTTTGTAATCCATACTAAAAATTTGTATGTATTGATTTATTTTACTTTACAATCGGAGCTCCTTTTTTTTAAAAAAAAAAAAGTTAAAGTGCCTGTGACATGCAAATTCTTCAAACACAAATAGTCAAAGAAAACATCTTTAAATTTAAGAAAGTTGGAATAATACACACGATTTAGCCCATTTTGTCCCATAACTGGCATATTTTCTTTTGAACTTGGCTCAGCCAAAGTGAAACAGGAAGTGACATCAGAGGGGAACTCTTTAACAAAGAAAACTCAAAATAATCTTAAGAAACATCAGATTCTTCTCTACAGGCTGGGTTGTTGGCATTTGTAGCAACACACTGTTCACATGCAGACATTC